CGTTAGCGTTCATGCTGAACACTCCTGTTCAAGCATCTCGCGAACACAAACAACGACCTGACGAGGAATGATGTTTTGCAGCGGTTCAATCGTCTCTAATGTGAGTAAAAGAGGAGGAAAGAGAGTTTAGGAAATTTCCCCTTAATTTACCGAGCGGACGAGAATTAAGAATGGTCACGTACTTGCATCACTGCATTTGATCAACTTGGCTACCAGAATCATAGTTTCCTCAATTGAAAGGGGTGGGAAGTCATTTCTGCTTAACCGAGATGGTTCCACCACCTCTAATGCTTGTCTAGACGCAACGTTAAAATGAGGGTAAGTAACAACAAGTGGATGAAAGACAACTTTCAGGCGACTGGTAGCTTACTTTCCCTGAGGTTGAGACTTTTTCAAGTCATCTGAAATTGCAAGGGACTGATTATTCCGAGAAGAAGGTGCGGTAATTTAAGGCTTTAAACTATTAGCATACCACAGTTAGAGGCACTCAAAGATGAAGAGGTCGATGTAGATTTTGACGCTTCATCATCAGTTGCCTCAATATCTGCTTGGATCTCAGAGTATTGACTAGCATCTTGAGAAACGGTATCAGGAGAGGTGGCAGATCTACCGCTACTAGAATGAGGAAGACTTGCTTGACGAACTCGAATCCAGTTGAGTTCACCGCATCGAGGTGAAGATGGAGATGTCGAAGTGGGGAAATCACTGCATCTACGTTGATCGGTGAGTATGGAGGGAACTTTTAGATACTTTGAAGCATCTGTGAGTGATTCAGAATGTTGACGACCTTGCAGAGCAGAGAGCTCATTGCAGAGGAGTTCAACCAGACACGATGTATCGATGTGACCGGGAGAAGTCTGACAAAGTTTGGGAAGGTTCAAACACATCTGCCCCATCCACCACCAATGAGCGCCACGGAGGAAGGATTGGGGATGTAAATTGCGTCTCTGTAGAGGCAAAAGGAAGGATTCTAATTTTACAATGGAGAAGAGAGCAGATCGAGATATATCTGCATGAAGTTTAAAATCCAGGTATATCTCACCATATCTACCGGAAAGGCAAATACAAGGACTTGATACTAAGCAGATCTATGACGAACGAAGGAGCGGTAAAACTCAACTCTAAGTCATTTGAAGACCATCTGTCTCCCCTAAGATAGCATATTCTGTAACCCATTGTTAGACGTTGAGCCATGGTAAGTCATCTATTCAATGAATTTAAAGGAAAGGAATTTCGCTTATCAATTAGGTCAGCATCAGGGAGCTTAAAGTATTTCTGGAGTTGTTTTAAAAAGTACTTACAGCAAAATTGAAAATATCGTTGAGCACACTAATGAATTTTCCACAAACGCTCTCCATTCGAACCGTCCCAGTGACCTGCGTTTCCATGCGATTTGTTAGTCCTTGGATTGAGGTTAGAGTGGAAGTTTTGCGGTCATTCAAGAGATCCTTGGTATGGATCCCCAATACAGTTGATTTGGGTAGACATTGAGCAGTGATGCCAATGCTTTATAAATGACAAAATTCAAAATAAACCAGAGAATAAAGACTCTACTCATTTTAAATCAGTAACGCTAACAAAAGATTAGCGATACATGTGTTCCATAAGTTGGTCTCCTCCTCCTCCTCCTAAGGCCCACTGTAGGCTCAAGCCTTTCCCAGACTTCCTTCACAATGAACAAGTACACCACTACTACAGAAAATCCGCTTCCCTATTTTGACAAAACAAAAGGTTCTAAGAAGAATTGGGGTATTTTAAAGCATAGCACTTCTAAAATACAGGGCAATATGTTTGAGCGGTTTTTTTCCACACAAATTTAAAAATAATTCGGACCAATATTTTTTATCCTGTTTCAGCTTTCCAATCGTGATTGTTTGATATCAAGAGGAGGTGGAAGCATACTAATAAATGCCATCAAATGATCATGATTGATGAAAGTGAGAATGAAGCGAAACTTCTTTTAACTTTAACCTCCAACTATGCAATAAATGAGGAGAATGGCTAAAAACATCAAAAGCATTGCTTAATAGTGAAAATGAAATCCCTCCACAATGGCAACCACTTTATTATCGGCAAGTGCTGGCAACTTGGAGTGCGAAATGTGGACACACATGTTGAGGATACTGATCATGCATTTTTCTTGCAGGGTTTCCGCATATCTGGTAACAGCCTCTCCATCGATGGCATCATGTCGTTTGCGCATAATCTGGGGCATAAATATTTCGAAGGCAAGTGTAGCCAAGGGAACAATGAGGCTACTCAAGGCCATCGCAACTGTCTCCACGTTTAGTGGTTGCAGGTGACTGGGCAGTTGGGCCAGACTACGCTGCGAGCTGCAGCAGATGTAGGCTTGCAGTGGAATTTCTATGCGACGGAGAAGAAGGTACGTAAACTCTAGAGTAATCTCAGCACTTGACGCTACAGAGGTGGTGCCGTTGGCATTCTTCCGATGTCTGAAATGAGAAAAAAAAGATGGCATTGAAAAGGTTTGAGCCACATAAATTCATGGCATTAGGGAGTCTAGTTCGGTAGAAGATGAAGCTCCTTTTTCCTCGTGTTTTGCGCTCCTGAAGTCCATTCAGTTTAAGGAGAGTCAA